GTCGCAGACCATGTGTATATCCCCTGCTGACCTGTGAGAACATGGCTAGGAAGACAGTATTTAGAAATTATTGTATCAATCGCAGAAGGCAAACATTAAGCATAAATAAAGATGGTCACTGCCACAGTTATTGGGTTGAGGGGGAGGGGCATGACTCTAGGATCCTCCCCTTTCTAAAGGCTGGAATACCACTGGCAGCCCACAGTACTTTGTAAATTTTCCCAGAACCACCTGCTGCAGAGAGCTGTGCCATGATCTAGGCTGTAGGTCCCTCTGGAGTCCCACAACACAGTGACACAGCGATGGCGGGAAGAAATGCTGTATGGAGCTGGGTGTGGATGTAGCAGGTGCTGTTTTTCAATCAGCTGTTCTGCAGAGTGGCCGTGCTGCATCATTGCAGGGACCAACAGCGTCAGGTGCTGCCATTCCAGTCTGTCATGATAGAGCCTCTCTTTGCCAACTGAAACGACAAAGTGTTTTCGGACTCCCAAGAGTAACATGAAACAGTGAATACACAGGAAGTGCCTGTTTGGTGTGCAACGTTCAGAATCAGCCCATTTCTGAGAACAGGAAAATGAAACTAAATTAGTCTCTTCTCTGCAGAAGCAGCAGCCATGGCTGCTGCAAATCCAGCACAACCGCTCCTAGCTGAACTGACTTGTTCAGTGTGCACAGATTATTTTAAAGATCCAGTGTGTCTAGATTGTGGGCACAATTTCTGCCAGGCCTGCATCACTCAGTGGTGGAAGGGATTGCATACAAACTTCCGCTGTCCTGAGTGTAGAGAAACCTTCTCCCAGAGAAACTTCAAACCAAACAGACAGCTGAGGAATATTGTAGAAGCTTCCAGAACACTTACATTGGAGTCAACAAAAGAACCAGAAGTGTGTGAAAAACATGAGAGCGCTTTAGATGTTTTCTGCCAAGAGGATCAAACACCCATTTGTATGATTTGCCACCTGTGCGGAGATCACAGAGAACACACTGTGGTTCCCATAGATGAGGCTGCCAAGGATTACAAGGTAAGAAATCATGGGACAGTGTAAAAGCTGGAATAGCCAGGATTGGCATTTTAATAAAAATTATTGCAAAAAAGAACGGATACTGTTAGAGACCCTTAAGAACAATATTTTAGCAATGAGAACAGACTTATAACACACTGTTATTAATCTATTCTGGCCCCAAACCATTTTTAACACCAATAAGGTCTCAGAAAAGTCAGTTCCAAATTGGCCCAGGGCTGAAATTTATTAACATAGCACAATACTATTATAGTGGAACTGCTCTTGAGCTGGGACACATATTTTGCTCGAAATTAAAAATACATCTTTTATATAGTTGCCAATTTTGGTTGGAAGTATTCCTGGAGGTTTCATAACCTAATCTTTAATTAATCCTGGAAGGTTGGCAACCCTAATCTTGTGTGCATGTGTTGTGCACTTGTCATGAATCAGTGCAGCCACAGGAACTGCTGAAGGTCATACTCATCACATAAGTCATTGTGACTGATTCTGCTTTTCATGTTATTTTTTATTTGTTGTGTATTTTTGGGAAGAGTCACTCTCATATATGGAGGTGAGACCTTCGAGTCTGTTATTTTTCACTGGTAATTTTTAGATAGGCCTAAATGTTTCTGCTCCACAACTTTTGACAGTGTTAAAAAGTGGTTCTGGGCTGGAATGGGTTAATAAGAGTGTACTACTAATGGGTTCTCATTCCGAAAATATTGTCCTCACGGTAATATGCTGGATGTATAAATTTAATCCTCTGGGTCACTTTGGAACCGTGTGTTCCAGATCCTATTTGGTGTTTAAAAAATGGTTCTGGGCTGGAATGGGTTGATAACAGGGTGCTAGAAATCAGTTCTCATTGTAAGATATTGTCCTCAAGGTGTTTTTTGGTGTTTAAAATATGGTTCTGGGCCAAAACAGGGTAATCACAATTTGTTATGAGTCTGTTCTCTTAACTGTCTGTAACAGTACCTGCTGGGTTTTGCAACAATTTTATTGATTAAAATGCCTTTCTGGGCCTTACTGGCTCCTTTCAGCTTTTACACCATCAGCATCCCTATATTTCTGCCTCTGGGCATGCATGCTGCTGTCTCTTGCTAGGTATCCAGATGCCTATTTCTCACTTAAGCCCCAGTGCGATTCACAATCTGGAGGAAGACAGGCGTTTGGTTGTCTAGCTAGAGTGGGGGGTCTGACCTGGCAGGTGGCCTCTGAGCACACCTACCGGATCAGGCTCGCCCTTCTAACTTTTAGCCCAGGGATTAGGGTACTCACCTGATATGTAGGAAACGCTGGTTCAAGTCCCTCCTCCACCTGATGAGAAGGGATTCGAATGGGGATCAGCCACCTCACAGGTGAGTGCCCTAACTATGGTATATTGTGATGTGGGGCTCCCTCCATCTCCCCTGTCAAAGCTGTTCCACTGGGGATAAAAAGTCATTTGGACCAGAGAGAGAGAGAGAGCACAAGCATGAGAATGACTGTCTAGTCAGAGCAGTCACCCATTTTATTATGTATTTAATATTCTTGAAAATAGAAAAAATGTAGGAAAACCCTCCAAAAGCACCAAAACTAAACCACTTTTTCTTTTTTTAGGACCAAGTTCGGAGCTGTTCGGTGATTTTGAAGAAAGAGAGAGAAGAGATTCTGTCATTTAAATTGAATGGGGAAAGTAAAAGCCAGGAACTGCTGGTAGGTGCCGTTATTACTCAGAAGCAAATGTGCACGGGGACATTATCAACACACTGCTTAGTCTGAGGCCTGGTCCACACTGGGTAGGGGATTGATCTAAGTTACACAACTTCAGCTACGTGAGTAACGTAGCTGAAGTCGAGATACTTAAATCTACTTACCATAGTGTCTTCACTGCGGTAAGTCGACAGTTGACGCTCTCCCATTGACTCCGATTGTGCTTCTCGCCCTGGTGGAGTTAACGGGAGAGCACTCGGTGGTCAATTTATCGTGTCTAGACTAGACACGATAAATCGACCCCCGCTGGATCGATCACTGCCTGCCGATCCGGCGGGTGGTGTAGACAAGCCCTATGTGTCATAAGAGGAATAGTGAGCAACATGTTCCCTTTTGTGAAAGACTACTACTTATTTATTGTCATTGTAAAGAGAAACTTCTGGTTTATGAAAAATGGAGCATTAAAGAAAGAGCTTTAATAATCCAAATATTTTCACTGATAATGTGAGTGTAATTTGTAATTTGTAATTTGCTTACTTAACAGTAGTTTCTCTTTTAGTCTTTTCTAACTACGTCTGGTCAAAAATTTTCACCAAAAACCTTCCTGTAGATCAATGGGGTTTAGTAGATAACAACTTTTTTCATGGGAAAAAAATCATTTGCAACACAATTTTCATTTTTTGACAGGCAATTTCAAAATGAAGCCTAAAACAAAGCACAATTAAGTCAATAGAAAGACTCCAGGTCACTTCACTGAGCTTTGGAATAGGCCCTTAATGGTACCGCTGCTAGACATTGCCATAAAGAAGGTCTGGGTTCCAAATCTGGTCTGATTTCCTTGCTCCTAGGGTATCAGGGGCCAGAGAGTGCTCCAGAAACAGCAGGAATTGATGGATTTCTGTCCAGTTCACATGCACTCATTTCTAGAAGCCACTAATCACAGATTATCCAAATCATGCAAGAAAGAAGCATATTCTAAACACCAGTTACGACTCTTGAAAATCTATTGGAAAATCTTCTGTCTATTGAGCATAGAGAATGTTCTCCATAAAATGTCAGAAGTTGAATTCTGTGGGGTTGCAATGACATGCTGCCACGTGCATAAAATGCCCCATGGGCTTTATAAAATGTCCCATGACTCATTCCGTATTCTTGTCCTTGATCTGTGCTTTTCCTGTTCATATCTCGTCATTTCAGAAACAGCTAAAAAGGGAGAGGCAGAAGATTGTGTCTGAATTTCAGCAACTGTGCCAGTTTCTGAAGGAACAAAAGCGACTCCTGCTGGCGCAGTTGGAAGAGCTGAAACAGGAAATTGAAAAGAGGAGGGATGAGTATGTTGCCAAACTATCAGAGGAAATATCCTCTTTCAGTTCCCTGATCAGTGAGATGGAGCAGAAGTGCCAGCAGCCAGCGAGTGAATTCCTGCAGGTAAGACAGTGTTAGAAACACTCCAGAACCTTTCACAGTTAAAGAAAGTCTCCTCACTCTTCACTTTTGGAGTGTAGGAGTGAATGGTCAGAACATACAGTATTGCTAAAATATACATGATTTTTTTCATTAAAGTCAATGGAAATATACTTCTTGAGTACAAAGGGCATTGGATCGAGCCTAAATGAAAAGAAATTCTTCTTTTGAATTGTAGTGGGAGAAGACTCCTCCAAAAATGGCAAACTCCAAATTCTGTTCTCCCTGTCTCATAATGGAAGAACAAAGGGACATTCAATAAAATTAGAAGGTGACAAATTCAAAACTGATCCAATGAACACTTTTTCACACATAACATAATTAGACTGTGGAATTCATTGCCACCGGATGTCGTTGAGACCAAGCATTTAGCAAAACTCAAAAAGTGATGGGATATTTATATGGATAACAAGAACATGCAGAGTGATATTAAACCTCATGCTTCATTGCTTCAGCCAGTCACTAACTATTAGAGAGCAGGATGAGAATGTGGGAGGCAGATTATTTTACACCTTCTTCTGAAGCATCTGATATTGTCCACTTTTGGAGACAGAACACTGACCAGATGGACCTCAGGTCTGATCCAGCTTGGCATTTTGTGTGTTCCAAACACTAACTTCTGAAGATCTAAGATGGAACCTGTCATTAATTATGGAAATAGCTAAGACTGAAGCTGAGTTTCCATTTAAAGCCTCATTTTGCCACTCTTCCTACTGTCACCGAGTTTGGGGAGACAGGGCCCTGCACCCCCGGCTTCCCGCGATTCACCGTGACTCTCAGCCAGCCAGTAAAACAGAAGGTTTATTAGATGACAGGAACACAGTACAATACAGAGCTTGTAGGTACAGACAACAGGGCCCCTCAGTCAAGTCTGTCTGGGGCCAGAAGGGCCTATCTATCCCCCCTCAATTTCCGCAGCCAGCTCCAAACTGAAACCTCTCCAGCCCTTCCTCTGCCTTTGTCTCTTTCCCAGGCCAGGAGGTCACCTGATCTCTTTGTTTTCCAACACCTTCAGTTGGCACCTTTGCAGGGGAGGGGCCCAGGCTATGAGCTGCCAGGAGACAGGGCGTCGGCCATTCTCTGTGCAGACACCATCACACTGGCCCCCTAGGGCTCGGCAACAATCACACACCCCTAGACACTCGAGAAATGCATTGTGGAAACTGAGGCACCCACACAGCACTCAGAGAAAACATTAAGAACATTCCCACTTCGTCACACCTACCTACCACAAAAAAGGGAAATATTGGCCTTAACATTGATACATGAGCTCTGAGGCTGTGGTAATTTTTTGGCCGCCAGAACTGAAGTTAGTTAGGGAAGCTGTTCATTACTTATGGTAGGCTGAAAGTATAAGTAGTTGTTAGAATTCCAAAAGCCTTCTAACGATTTTAATTTTCAAAAAGTGTCTCTAACTAGCAAATAAGAAAGAAGATGAGAAATAAAACGTAACATCCTGGACTTCTCTAGCTGATATCTAGGGTCAAATTGTCTGTTGCAACCAATAACTGATGTGGGCAGCATTCTTCACTCCTCAGATATCTTGCATTGAACCTTGGGTGTAGGATAGTGAATGTCCCTCTGTTACTCTGTACCCCAAACCCATTGTTCTCACCCAGCCCCAACTTCCTATGGCTGTCAAGAAGCCCACATGACGGGCCTTCAGAATGTTTGTGGGTGAGTGGGGAGAAAGCTTACAGCACGGGGGCAGCACAGCCTGGGGGCACCCCTCCCTCTGGACCCACTGGAGTCTGCAGGAGGGGATCTTCCCCACACCTTTGAGTGTTAGGAAGATCCTTGTTCGATAGTGAACCCTCTGATTCCATGTGCCAGCTGGTTATCCAGATGTCATTACACAAAGAGCTCGGTGCCACCACGTATAAACTTCCTGGGCCCAGATCCTGCACTTACAGCACTTTTCCAAATGTGCAAAGGCAACACATTTAATGTTTTTGTTTGAAGTAATAAATAACAAATAGTTTCACTTTGAACCTCAAACTGTGAAGACAAAGTATGTCCCCTCCAGAGCAGGAGGGATCCTTAGTATGTGATAAATGGGACTGAATTTCCTTTTATCTTTTTCCTCTAGGACATCAAAGGCACCTTGAGCAGGTAGGTGGCTCCTTCTCACTCTCCTTTTCACTTCCCAGTGCAAGGAAGGGATTTTGGACATGAGATGTGGTTCCCCATGGTCCAGCAGTGCAGAGTGTGGGGTTGGTTCCCAGTCTCCCTCCATTAAATCTAATCTAGGGGCTGTTGTCATTTTGAGTAGACTCCAGAATAGAGCAGCCTGAGAAAAGAGTGATTTACCTACAGACAGGGGTGTCATTTATAGTGTAGCTGGTGGAATGGAGACCTCAGGAGATTGGGGATGGAGAATGCGTTTTTCATTTCTAGGTCATAGACTCCAAACTCCACCTACATTGGTAGGGATGGAAAGTCAGGGCCATCTGATGACTATTCAATGAGCTGTTTATTAATTGTTTCCTTTTATGCAGTGAGCTCTATCCGTGTGCTGGGCGTGGCAACAGATATCATGGAAGAGACATTCCCTGCTCTAGGGAGTTTATAATGTGCTATTATCAGTAGTACTATGGCAGTGCCTAGAGGCTCAAGGCAAAATCAGGGCCCAACATGCTGGGTGCTGCACAGACACAGAGAAAGAGACAGTCCCTGCCCCAGGGAGTTTACAGTCTAAATAGACACACGAGGCGGAGGGAGGAAGGATTAAAATCAATTGAAGGGGACATTCAATAAAGTCAAAGTGCTGCACTTTAGAAGGAAAAAATAAATGTACAACTACGAAATGGGGAATCACTGGATAAGCAGCAATACTGCGGAAAAACATCTGGGGGTTCAAGTGGATCACACATTGAAGGAGTCGGCAGTGTGATGCTCTTGTGAAAAAGGCAAATGTCATTGTGGGATGTTGTCACCAGAGGTGGTGCCTTGTCCTGGCTGTTCGGGGATTAGCTCTCTTCCAGGGCCAACACCTCCCCTTCGCCGTCCTCTCCCCCCCCCCCCCTTGTCTCTCTCTCACTCTGCAGCCTCCTCTCTCACTCCAAGAGCTGCAGCTTCCTCTTCGTGACTCAGCCTCCAGCCAGGTCACTAAATGGCTTCCTCTTCTGGGGTATAGAGTTTCACTGGTCCCACTGCCCAGGCAATGCCACTCCATCAGTGGCTGGTTGGGGAACTCCAGCCCACCCACTGCTCCAGGGTCCAGCCCAGGGACCCTGCCACATGCAGGGTTAGACTAGATGACCCTGGCAGTCCCTTCTAACCCTATGATTCTAAGTACTCCCTTCCTTCAGGGCCAGGCTTCTAGCATGCTGTTCTTTCCCTGGGTTCCCTCTTTCCCTTTCAAATACACAGAGAGTGGCCGCAGACTTTCTCACTGCCACCAATTTCTGTTGCCAGCTTCCTGGCTTTATACTAGCCCAGCCCCCACCTGCTCAGCTGAGTTTCATTGTCCAATCAGGGGTTGCTTCTCTGGCCTAAACCACACATGTGTGGCCTGTCTCACTAATCTCCTCTGTCTCAGCTTCCTTCACTCATTCGGGGGCTGGTGTGGGGTGAACACCCCACCACAGATGTATTAACAGGAGTGTCAATGTCAGACACAGGAGGACGTTGTTCCACCCGTCTTGCCACTGTGAGGCCTCAGCTGGAATCCTGTGTCCAGTTTTGGGCATCTCACTTTCAGAAAGATGTGGAAAAATTGGAGAGATTTCAGAGGAGACCAGCAAAAACGATCCGAGGTTTAGAGTGGATGAGCTGTGAGGAAAGGTTAAAATAAATGGGTGTGCTTGTGGATACAGACTAACACGGCTACCGCCTGATTCCGGACTGTGGGGCTGCTGAGGCCTCCAAATCCCCAATCTGGGCTGCCTCTCACACTGTGATGCTGATGTCAAGCTACAACCCTGACAGGCTCTGCGCTGACAGACACCTACGGGCAGGGACCCGCCCAGCTGTGTTACATGAATCCTTTCCCAGCCATTGATGGACCAGCAATAGAAGGCGCCAGCCAGTTCCCCCCAACTCCAGCCCCAATCCCCAGAACTGCACCGACTCACACTGCTCAAGGCTCCCTCGGGCAGTGCAGGTTCATTAAGTAGTTTGCCGTCCCTCAGTGTGGAGTGGACACACACTGGCCTTTGTAAGCTGAGAACCCCTGTGCTAGTGGACTGACCATTGTATGTATCCAAAGAACTAAATAAGAACATAAATTCCCACCCCTTCCCCCAAAGCCCTGCCCCGCCTCTTCCTGTCCTGCCCCGCCTCTTCCCGCCCTTGCTTCGCCCCCCCAGCACATCCTGCCCGTTGCTGAACAGCTGATCCCCCATGGGCAGGAGGCGCTGGGAGGCAGGGGGAGGAGCTGATCAGCAGGGCCAGCTAGCAGGTGGGAGGCACTGAGGGGGGGGGGAGGTTAATTCACCCGCATTCTTTAAAAGGTCTGTCTGATTTCCCATTGGAATTTCTCTGGCTTCAGCTTCCAGCAATTGGTCCTTGTTGTGCCTTTGTTTGCTAAACTGAGGAGCCCTTTAGTACAAAGTCTATTCTCCCCATGACGGTATTTATACCCCACACTCAAGTGCCAGGGGTCTCTCGGTGCGAGGCATTTTTACCAGCCCCCAAATCAGTTTTGTGAGTCTTCTCTGCACCGTCTCCACTTTTTCAATGTCCATTTTGAAATGGGGACACCAGAACTGGATGCAGTTTTCCAATATCAGTCTCACCAAAATGAAGTGGAAGCTTGTAGTGTCCAAGCTGGGATTGGACCTATTCCTGGGGCAATAGAGACTTTAATCCTCCAGGGTCTGCTGAGCTACAACCATTCACTAGAATAAAATACATGTTAGTAAAACACAAATAGGAACGTCTTCCACAACGAGTAACACTGGGTTGTTCTTCAGATGCGAGAGGAAGACGTTTCAGAACCCAGTGGCCTTTTCTTCTGAACTGAAATGGAGAATCTGGGAATCTTCTCAAAGAAATGCCTCTGTGGAGACCATAATGAAGAAATTCAAAGGTAATAAACAGTCATCTGGGGAATTTTCTCCCATATGTTACACTGATAATTGACAGAGCTGGGGAAATCTCTTGGGGACAATGATTGTGGATGGAGATTGTCAACTAATCATTTGGAAGCTATGAATTCCCTCCTCAGCTCTCAATGCAGCACATACACACTGGGTTCGGGGCCTACATTCGGACTCCCTGGGGGTTTCCTTTCTTAGCCGCTATGAACGTTAACCTGAGCTTGGGCTTCCTGCTGAATTCACTGTTTTTGAAGTATGTTTGTTTGGATTTTTTGTCTGCAAGGTAGGATTACCATACGTCCGGATTTCCCCGGACATGTCCGGCTTTTTGGTCCCCAAATCCCCGTCCGGGAGAATTGCCAAAAAGCCGGACATGTCCGGGGAAATAGGGAGGCTAGGATCTCCGAATTTGTGTGTGTCGGTCGCCCGCTGTGACATCATCTCGGTGCGAC